GTAGGAAAAGGGGAAAGTGTTATCATACCTCAAATTCCAATATTCCCCACTGACCTACCATTTCACTTTAAAAGACTGCAGTTTCCAACCAAACTTAGTTTTTCTGTTATGTTTTTCCCATGGTCAAGTATATGTTACCTGTTCGTGTATATCCAAAACCAGGAATTTATATTTATTAGCGCCGAATGGAAACACATATAATATATTATACAGAAGCATCCTAGAATAATACTCTTATTCATGCTCTTCTGAAAAAGAATTAATGTTTTAACTTTAAACTTTTTGAAATCATGGTAATGAAAATTATTAATTTTTGTAGTGAGATATTTTAATAAAGCATGTTTTTCAGTTTTTTTAAATTATATTTTTTTTAGAATTTTTTAGTATCCCCCCCCAAAAAATATGATTGCAGTGTTTGATATATCCAAATCGGATTTTAAAAATTATGCAGAATAGCGTCTTAGCAAATTCAATATGGATTTCTTTTTATCTCAGTGAAGGGCAGTATTTACTGAAATTTTGTGCAGAGTGTATTTTTAACTTGAAAAATAAGTAATAGTAACTAAAATTCTATCTTGATTATCCTGGTCATGCAATAAGAAAACAAAATTATTTTATTTTCAATAGTCTTTGAAACTTATTTAAGGACATCAATGAGAGCGAAGCCGCAGGTATAAGCTAATTTTTTTAATAATATTTTTTCTCATCCTTTCTGTTTACTTGATAACTAGAAAGGTATTAGATCTACAAAGTGCACACCTCCCATTGTTTTATTGTAGTCAGTTACGACCTTTGGCTTTGTTTTCAATATTTACTTTTTGTCATTATCTCAATAGTTTCAGTCATGAAATGATGATAACATTGGTCACTTTCTTTTTGTCCTTCCACTTCAGATTGAGGATTTTCCCACGTCTAAATGATATAACTTTGCCAGATTTTAACTTTCTGTTTTTCAATTCTAAAGATAAATCCTTTTTTTTTTTTTTTTTTTTTTCCTGACAGTTCCAACCACATGTGTTTAATAATTAAAAAAAAGGATATCGCATAATTCTGGTGAAGTATAATAATAATTAATTAAGGTGTTTTAATAATGGCATCATCAAATTCATAACAATTTGTGAAGGTACTGTTCACGAGTATAAAGTCTTTATACTCCGTAGTACTGTTGTTAGTGATTAGAATTTAGGATGAATTAAAGTACCTTTCCCAGTATATATAATAAATAACCATATATAACCAGTACTAGATTTACTTATCATATATGTTTTGATTTCAGATTTTGGCTTTTTTTTTTTTTTAAAGGTACATATTGGTGCCAAAGGATAAACATTCTTTGAACAACACCATCAGAGTTTTATCTGTGATAGTATCTCTTTCAGGGTAATTGTTGTTTGATATACTTTATTCAAATGCTCACATATGGGCCAAATTTTGTAGGCTTTTGGGTTAGGATGACTTTCTAGATCATAAGAATCCTTGTTCACAAAATGAACACACAGTGATCTTTTAATTTCACATTGTTGATTATATGACATAATCTTAAAAAAAAAAAAAAAAAAAAGGGAATTTCCACTAATGGTTTGTTAGTCCAACAGATGCTTTCTTCAGGTTTTTTTTTTTTTTTTTTTAATTATATCTTGTAAAATCGAAAGTTTAGGAAACAATTGCTTTTCATGTGGCAATACAAGTTTTCCATTCTCTTCTTCCTTTTAGTTTTCTTTTACCAACAACATTACTTGATTGCTCAATATAACGATTAGTCTCTTTTACAATTACATATACTATACTGTTTCATCATTTATAAAATGGCCATAAATATTGTAAAGTGCCTTGAAATGAAATATTAACTTTAGGCAATGATTTGAACTGAAAACGAGGGGGAGGGAGACAAATATGTGGTGTTCTATCTTCTGTGTATGTGCGAGAGTAAATCTATCAGCACCGTCATTGGTTACAGAATTTTGCTTTGGGGAATTAGAAAAAAGCGTTCCTAACTTTGAGACCATCTCGTTTAATAAGTTGGTTATAGTTTTCAACATTGCGAGATAGAATTGAGTTTGGGGTCTTTTGTGGGACACACAAAATGAAATCTGCTGCATTTGTTAAAGAATTCTTTCAGTTTGCTGCATTTAGAAAATGAGGTTCCCCTGTGTAAGTTTGCAATGTTCAATCTTCAAAAGTTTAGGAAATGATTCCAGGTTTATTCTTGACATGCAGATAAAATAGAATTTTTTATGTCATTGTAGGTGTATCTAATTTGTAAATAGAATTATATTAAATGTTCAAAAATTCAGAATGGTAATTTTGTTTTATCGTAAGTGACTACCCATTCTAAGTCACAGCCCATTGGAGTCAGGTGTGTAAAGAAATAATATCTAACGATTGAGAGTTTTGCTTTACGACATGCATTGATTGTCAAAGTTTTGTTCCCTTCGCACCCTGGTAAAAGTTGCACAGGATCGTCACTATTATCACTGCCTTCAAATTCTGATAATTCAAAATCAAAAACATCTGCAAAATAGCTGCCTTCTGAATCAGTTCCTGATTTTTCAAGACTTAAATCCTCTTGTTCACTTAAGCTACTCATTTTTCAAATATTAAACATGAAAAAAGGATGAGCACTGAAATTGAAAACATGTTCAAAACAAAAATTCAAAACAGGTTCAAATGGAAATTTTTTTTTCCTAAATCTGCATACTACTGCTGTATAATCAAATCACAAACACTATGCTGTCATCTGTCAATATTATTTTCCTGTTAATTAAAGTAGAATTAAAAATTTAATTCTGTCTTAGTTAACAGGAAGATATTAGTTTGTTAACAGGAAATATTGACGAGCCTGGCAGGAGGTAAACTATTCATTCTATGCTCCAGTAGCATATGAGCTGGAGTTAAAGGCATTAATTCTTGTACTTCAGAATAAACATAAGTTAAGCTTACCCTCTATTTCAATTATTAAAGTTTCTAATTCATCTTGAGACAAAGTAGTTTTTTGTAAAGCAAGTTTTGGGTCATAAAAGCCATCCCACTAAGCAGCTTCTCATTTTTCTTGGTTATGTAACACCACTGGATTTAGGGAAATGTATAATACTATAAGTCTTTTACTATAAGTTGGCTAATGACAGTCCACAGGTTTTTGAGTTCAAACCCTGATCACTTACATACGAGCTTAAAGCATTTCTATCAAAGTTTCAGAAATTCCACCATGAAACACTTTGCTATGAGCATTCCACACTAACAAATTTATGAAGCGATGTTTTGCAGGTATAATAATTGGATCTTTTAGCAGATAAGTAAGTGAATGATGTAAGTTTGACTTCTGTAGTCTCCCGAGAACATGCATTATTCTGTTGTCGTCAAAAGTGAGATTTGATTCTAAAATCAGTGAAAATTTTTAAATTGTTTTGCCATGTCTTAAATAGTACAGTTTCTTCAGCCAAAAACTTCTCTCTGAATAGTTTTAGAGAAATCTTTTGGCACCATCGAGTTTTTCAGCACTTAATTCTTGACATCGTTTAGTTTCATTTTTAGTGTTGGATGTTAACTGAAGTATCCAACTGGTAACACAATGTAATTTTTGCAAACTGCTATATTTATACAGAATCCATTAAAGATGTTTCTTTCAATTGAATGCCTCGTGCAAAATATATTTCATCCAATTTAGTTCTTTTTTCACTAGATACTTCTGAGAAATCGCTGGTCAAATTATGTAATTAGAGCCCTTTGACCAAGCTTTTGCTCTCCAATAAAGCCATTCCGGGCAGTGGAGCCATAATCTTTTCAGTAATCACTTCTCGAGATACGTAATCTGTGTGATTATCCGTCATTTTACAATAATACCACTGAGCAGGGTCAGTTTGACTGGATTTCACATAGTGTCAATACAAAAGTTTTCTATTTTGAAGCCTTCCTTTTAATCCAGTGAAGAGCAATAAAGAAATCGTTCCACAAATATACTTTAGAAACTGGAAATTGGAAAATTCTTGAAACAATAACAGAACTTATTAGTTTAAGCGTCAATCTTTTCAGAGGTGCAGTTCTAGATTTCACAGTTATGAAACTTGTGTATGTGGTCATCACTTAAAATGTACAACTGCTTCGAAAACTCTAGGACTTGTGTTGGAAATATATGCAGTCTAATTCTTTTACTAGCTTAAATGGATTCTTCAATCCTGTTGGTAGTTCATCATCCCATCATAATCCATTTTCCCATATATCTTGCATTAATAGTTTTATGGTGACAATAAAAGGTGAAGCAATTTCCAGAAGATTAAGTAACTTCAACAGCATTTGATATATGCTTTAATTTTTGAATTCTTCAAATTATCGATCATGGCAAGAAGCGATTTCACATCTAATTTAAACCTATCTTCTTCCATGTTCCATATATGCTTAACGTCTTCAAGGATTTTAAATGAATGTAACTTGCTTACTTAACAAACTTAATGCTGATTTGGTTTGTTTTACATTGAGAGTTAGCTATAAGCATAATTAATTCACTTCTAATAGTCCTTGATGCGAGACTGAAAGGGTAGAATAACTTTTCTTGTCTGCATAAGTCAGCTAAACAACAAAAGATATGCATGCCATTTTATCAGCAGATTTTGAGAATAAATTTCTGTATTTTAGAAAATGGTAACTGCATTTCGATACATTCACTGCTTCACTTTCATTGAATGTAGCTGTTAATGAATATTATAGCTGGTATCTGTTTAAGGATTGATGATGTGGCAGTTTTTAAGATTTTACTATTATAATACTACAAATGAAGACAGCTTATGATTTCTGTAAGTTATTCTTCTCTTGATTCAGGAATATAAAAGTGTGAGATATATATAGGAATGTAAAAACACTGAAGGATAAATAAATATCTATTTGGAAGCAGTAGTACGTGACTAATATATTTCTGTTGGAATATTTTTTTATGTTCTGAAGATTTGCTTATCAGTTTATCTTTTTTTTTTTTTTATTTTTATTTATTCAGTATTTTTTTCTTGTAGGTCAGAAATGGCTGAGTCAAGAAATTTTAGAAGATACAATTTTCGAGCAAGTGACATTTCACCTCATGAAAAAAACAGTTCAATGAAAAGTGGTCCATGGGAACAGTATGATATACCGGGAACAAAAAAATATGAACTTGGCTGTGATGTAGATAAAGAAAAAATATTTGACTTTCCATTTCTGGCAAATGAAGACTCAGTCTCTTATCTTCAACAACATGGAAAAATAATGTTTATAGTTCGTGGACCTCCTGGAACAGGGAAAAAAACATTAAGTGAAATGCTTCTGAAGTATTATCCATCTGCTGTATATTGCTGTGCTGATCGTTATTTCGCCGAAACATTTACTTCGGAACGAAACAGAGAAACTTTAAAAAAGTCTCACGATTATTGTGAAAAGCTGTAAGTTTTTTGTTATTTTATTATCAACTTTGTCACGTAATTAAAATTTCCTATCCAGTTTTTAATGTCCTAGATCAAAATTAAGGAACATTTTCATATTAGTAGATCATATTTTATTTAAATGATTGTTCTGAAAGTGGTGCATTTTTTATTTTCAAATAAGTGTCAAAATTAAATTAACTTATAAGGGAATGAATAGTATAAAATAGATTAAACTCACTTTTAAAGTGGTTTGTTGTTATATTATGACTCTACATTAAGCACATGAGAAAAAGAAGTTAAACTGCACAAATCTGAACAGTAATTTTTTAATGAATTTATATGTAAAATAGTAAGAAATGCATACGTATTTAACCAGTTGTGTTTGCACCTTCAGTGTCAGTTCCCCCCCCTCATATTTCCTAGTATTCAAGCCAGTTCTGTGGCTAATGTTTAATTGGTAGGGTACGAACTGCGCGAAATTTGATCGAAAATCCCCTCCCCCCTTTTATCTAATTCAGGAACTGTGCGACGTTTCCTATCTCCTCTTTCTTTACCAAGAAGATGGGTGCTACAAAAAGTCATTTATCACCATTAATGGGACATTTTATTGAGACTGCAAGCCTCTATTTTTGTTTATCAATATTGTAAAAATTGTGCATACAAAACAAATATTCATTTAACGTCTGGCATGTGCTAAAGTAAAAATAAATTTATTTTACACTTATTTTAAAGTTTTATGATGCTTAAAAGAATGATGAGCCAGATCTTTTTTATTCTCTGTAAGAATTAAAAACTTTCCAAGTCGTAGATTTTAGTCGCTGATATATATATATACATATATCAGTTTTGAATAATAAAATTGATAGATTAATTACATACACAAAACTGATACATAATCAACCTATCAAATATCGTATTTGTAGCGCACCTTAAATACGTTTCTTGTCTGGATAAATATTAACAAATCTTAGATAGCAGAATGATTTTAACTTTCAAATTTACTATTTTAGGTAAACAGTTTTAATTTAATTTTAAACAATTCTCTTTATTAAATCTAAAAATTGGATTTTCTTAAGTAGTTCTATATTCACACTAATATTATTGCAATATATTGCCATAGTAAGCTTTCCATTTTTAGTCACTGAAGTTATTTTAAGGTTATTTAACTTTCTTACAAATTCCATATTTTAGTACTAGAAACGTTTAAATATTTATTCTGTTTTCCAGTTACTCTTACCTGATGTACTTTGTCATGCATTTAATTTCTAATGAATATTTAATTAATAAATTCATAATTATGATCCTCTGGGGAATTTTCATAATTAACAAAAAAAAAAAAAAAAAAAAAAAAAACTCGAATTCCCTTATATTCAGTTGAATATGGAATTTTCAGTTTCCTTTTAATCCATTCCTTTTTCACATATTATTGCACTGTATTCAAGTTTTTATGTATGTAGAATTTATATATTTTGTATTGTATTTATGCCAATTTATATTTAAATGATAATTTTTAGAAATTCTCGCATCATAACTCTAGTTAGCAGAAGATTTTTCTAACACTTTGGTAAAGTTTAATCTTCAGCATGCAGCTCATTTTCCAACCTAGTTTCAAACTGAATTATTTGTAAAATTAATTATTTGAAATTATTTGTTAACAAAAATGGTAGCTAAATTACACTAATAGTATTTCTAACAGTTGTAATTTATAATACAACAAGTTCATGTGATTTATAATATAATTCATTTATAATTTTTTCAGCAGTATTGAAATTAATAGCGGATACTGATAATGTTATACATTTAGATTACAATGATTTAGCTTGCCCTTGCTTTCTTCACTGATGCTTTTATGCTACTTTCCTAATATTTCATAATGGCATACATATAAGTTTAACTCATTCACCAAACATGTAATTCTCTAATTCAGCTCACTTTTGTTCTTATCTGTGCTGTATCTTTTATTTTCCTTTAATTATTGTTCAGCCTAATTTCAAAAGGTCTTATGATCAAGTGGAAAAGTCAATAAACAATAGTAGTTCGACTCAAGTTTCCAATGCCAGAGATCTCCCAACTCTTTCTTTTCTTTTTCTTTTTTTTTTTTTTTTTTTTTTTTTTGTGCTTATTTACTGTGTAAAAATATATCGTAAAAATTTCAGTTCATGAAGTAAAAATACTTTTTAATTTATTCTTTAAAAATATTGCAAAAATTTTCACTTTGGCATACCTTTTTACAAATCCCTCTAATAAAAAAAATAAGGAAAGCAATTAACTCGTTTTCGGTGATTGATTCCTCAGTGCAAATTATATGTAACTTTTTCCAAAAGCATAGATTTTATATGGATATCAATAAATTAAGGATTATTTCTCAATCTAATTTTCTTAACATGTTTATTCCAGAATTTTCTTTTCACACTGTAGCACTTAACTTTATGAGTTTTCTATAATCATTCAATTACTCTAGCCATGGCAACTTTCCATACCTTCTGACAAGCAGTTATATTTTTAACCACTATATTTTAATCCCTGTAGACCATCAGTACATTATTCACTTGTTTCACAAGTGCAAATATTTATTTTATACACAAATCTATGTAAAATAGCAATAAAACTTCAGTTATGCGGAGCTCCTGATCGATTGCTTGTTTTAGATTGAATGAAATTAAGCTTAATTAATATTACTCTTAATTAACTTGTTATTAATTTAATTATACATTTCTAATTAATTATATGTTCAGATATTTCCAAGTATATTACACAAACTTTTGCATCCCATTTTTTAATTTTTTGTTAAAAAAATTAACTTTTATTTATTGAGAGACCTGATTGATTATATTAATTTGCAGTACTGATTATCTAATTCTTTTCTTCTAGATAAATTTTTGAAAAATCTTCTTAGCATACTGATTTAAACTTATTTAGAATTTATACGGCAGTTTTCCAAACACATAGTAATGTTGTTATAATAGATTTCACACTAAGCTTTTTTTAAATTTAACTATTAATTTCTGCAAACATTTACATCATTACTATAATTTTAAAAAAAAATTAACACACTTGGATATGGAATAATCTTTTGCACACCAGTGAACTGTATTAAATTTTCCAATCTAGTTCAGACATCTTGACTATTATTAATGTAATTTATAAAAAATATAATTGGTATGCTTTATATACTTAGTTTTTATTGTTCTCGTGAAACGCGGCCGATATTCCTTTGTTTGTGAAAGTGGTTAAGTGAAGTGCCAAGGATCACAAGTTATTTATAAAACTCTTCCTGTGTAATAGTGCTGCCATCTATAAAATTAATTGAACTTTTTAATTAAATCACATTCCTAGGATACCTATGGATGCCATTTGATGTTATTATTTCAAGCAATTAAGGAAGTACAGCTCATTAAAATTGTGCCATATTCAGCTCAATTAATGCAAGTTTTTCCTGGATTATAACTTATTTACAAGACTATCTCAACGCTGAAATCGTACTCAAGAGGTAGGCTCTTAAACACTTTATCTTCGTTGAAAATTTCTTCCCTCGTTCCTTCTTCTCTGAGGCGTTTTATTTTAATTATTTTACATCATTTAACGTGCAAGTGTGTTCCATTTCCCCCGTCACCTTCTACAGAGAGATTTTTTTTCCCACATATACTTGCCCCCGAAACCAGTTGGGAGGCGACCTTGAACTGTATCTGTATGCCCACGACCGTGCTCTATTGTTACAGCTCTAAGAAGAACAGCGCCCTTTCATTGCACACGGCTTTCTCAGTTTCATCGGCGGAGAATTTTTGCCCAATTTCAACAATTGTGTTTTAAATCTTTAACCAAAGTTCTAAAAGGATAAAAGCACTGAATGAAACGGGCTCAAATACTGCATCTTCACAGATCATCACATTATCAGTTTGATACCATGCGCTTATCTTTCAATTAATTAATTCTTGAATTACTATTTTTATTCACTTGTAACCAGAACTCTGCACAGTTTACCAGTTTTCATGGTTTATTTATTAACTCCTGCAGTCTAGTACTTTAAGAAAGAATATACTTTTTTTAAATTCTTTTTTAATATTATATTTTATTTTCACTACAATTATTGTTATTATTATTATCTGGTATTTAGAATCGTATGTACATGTGTTAATGTAACTAGTGTGTCTTTTCATAGGTATTTATACTCCCTTAACCTATCACATTGTGTTTTATGTGTTTTGCATAACTCTGAAAGTTTTATGTACTGTTGTATCTGTTTTCTAAGTGTAATACTGATTACTTAATACTCACTTGCAGAAATACCTGTCTGAATAAGATTTAGAACTCCTCTTAATGACTTAATATAATGTACGTCTGACAACTCGCAGTTATTTAATTAATTAACCTTTGGTTAAGAACTAATTCAGAAGACAAACAACAAAAATCAGCGTTATATTTACAAAATTTCCACAGGACTAGTTTCAATGGTTTTTACCGAACCACCATCCTCAGCTGCAAAACCGCAAATGAACAAGATAGGAAAAATGATTAGATAAGATAAGGAAAGCCTGGACAAGAATAAGCAAGTGGCGCCATCTGTTGGTGAAACCAGAACTAAAACATAATTTCTGTAAAGGCCGAAGGCAAATTTGAATTGGAATTAGGATCGTTAACTAGAACAGAAAGATTTTTATGAATGTGAAATGCCTCTAGAAAATCCAGTTCTCCAATGGAAGATGTTTTTTGAATAATTTTGGCAGCAGAAAAATTGAAAGTGTGATTTTCGGACCAACAATGTTGCGCAACAGAAGACTTCTGTGTTTCCTTTTTTCTAACATATGCCTCATGTTCCTTGACGCGAGATTTTAAGGCTCTCTTAGTTTGGCAAATATAAATTAAACACAAACTGGCAAGGAATCCTATAAATACCCCAATCCCAGGAATTCATATCCGGAATGGGGTCCTTGAGTATGGAATTCGGAATTTTATTGATGGGAGAATAAACAACCCGAAAGTTAAATTTCTGCAAAATATGTGCAACTTTATAGCTAATT